TAATTGAAAGTACAGTGCCAAAATTTTAAAACAAAATTAAAAAAAAAAATCAAAAGAAATCCTACTGGAGATGGATTGAGGCAATCTGTGGAAAATGGGAAGCATTCTTCTTGAAGGTGGCTAAGATGGGTAAGTGGTAAAAGATCCAGAGTGGGATTTAAGTAAAGAGATGTGTAAGTACCAGAGGGTGTTCTTCCTTACACCACCATCACCTGCAAAGTCAAAATCAAACATGAAAGAATTCTACCAGACTTATGCTAAAGCAAATAAAGCAAAGCTACAGTTTTAGAGTTATGAAATAGAGAAAGAAGTGCTGCTTTCAGATAGGCAGAAAAATCTGAGCTCCATATTACCCAGTCATATGAAAGTTTAAGGGAAAAAAAATCCAAGTAATTTTAAGAAAGTTTGTCATTTTGTGAACAGGATTGTTGACAATGATTGTCTACAAAACCCTATCTGCTGATATCACAAACTATCCATGCCAGAGTTATTTTCATTAGCATATTAATTTCAAGCACTCCAAGTTCAAGGCAAGCACTGAATTTCCATAAAATTTGTGAGATTTAAACAATCCAAACGCTTTTCTCAGTTTCCCCTCAGATGTTCATAAAGATCCCATACATATGAGCTGTGTATTTATTCACTTTTGAGGATGTGGTTGTAAATTCCTAGTCAGGAAAAGCTGGGAAATGGGTTTATGAAATCCTTATCATCTTGAAGGGCTATATTTCTAAGTATGAAGCTTGCTTTTTAGAAAAATACTTCATTAAAATCAGTGTGCTGCTCCATCACAGATGAAAGAAGGTGACAAGCGCTCCTGTACAAAAGATAGCATTTTAGCCTTCAACACACGATCTGCAAGAACAATAAAACCTATTCTGCACTACCTGCAATGCTCTCTCAGGGAAAGGCACCATCTTCAACCAAAAGAAGACCTGGCATAAAATATTACCATTAAAAAAAAAAAAAAAATAAAAAAAATCATTATTTGGTCCCTTAAGTAGCCCCTGAAGTAGAGGGCTGTGGTGAAATTTTATCAAGCATTTTCCTCCAAATGGAATATATGCTTCAGTACCCTAAGAGGTCTATAGTACATGAAATTTTAACGGAATTGTTAATGTCTTTCTAGGTTTTATAATACCACAAAGAGATACTAATCATGTGCTCTCACCACAGCAGATAAATGCTAATGCCTGTAGTAGACACCACTTTCACAGTGGTTTTGAGTACAAGCCATCTTCTACTCTCTTGGTGGGCAAATTAATGGGATCAATAAATTTTGTAGTATCTCCAGATAACACTCTTTACCTTCACAAACGTGATCAGTAAATTCACGATGTACAGAAGGGACCACAAACAACTTATTATGTGGATTCCCTGAAAGGTTAGTCTGCTCTGAGAAATGTAAAATGTCAAAGGCCTGGGAATTTTCATATGTGAACCCACGCCTGATGTGGGAAATGTTTGTGGAAGATCCTAAAGGTCAGATGTGAGGGTCTCCCTTATCAACAAGGTCATATGTTAAGTTAAACTGAAACTAAGAGAAGCGTGCTACCTGGAACCACAAGCACCACTCTGATTACAGTAAATATTTTTTAAAGGGCAAGCCATTTTAAAAGTGATGTTTAAAATGTATTTATCAGAATAAATATATACATTATATATAGTTGTTTTCAGGTAATTTCCACAAATATTTCTAGTGTCATGAAAGTTAAAGCTACTTCAAAAAAAAGTCTAGTCGTAACTATTCATCTGTAGTTCCTCTGATTGGAAACAATAATGACTTCACTAGAGATTAAAAAAACCACATAGTTTTTCTGCCTATTTTAAACTGGTAAACTATGTATTTACTTTTGTTACAGTAAGAAAATTTTGCTATTTTTATCTTGTGACATTTTGCTTTGTTTAGAAAGAAATGATGATTCAGAGCCTGCTAATCTTTTAGGAGACATATGTGAGAAAAATACTGTTATCTCCCTTTACAAGGGGAATGTGCAGGCATTAAAATACATCTTTGTATTTTAGCTAAACAAATCCTGAGCAGAATACACAGACTTGGACAAGCTTGACAACAGAAAAGGAAATGCCACTAGAATTACTTCAGATTTGTTAGGGTTTTGGTTTTGTTTTCATTTTAGGAGTAGTTTTTGACCACGTACAATCTCCCTTCAACCTCCTACCTAGGTTATCTGGCAATTTCAAGTTCCTTCATCTGCAAGCCAGCTAAGTCTACTACTTTGAATTCTTTTCCGTCAGCTGTAGCACACTATGATGTGCCTCCTGGAAGCACATACACTGACTGTTTGTCCATATGAGTTACTTAAACAAATTGCCTTCCTTTTGTATAATGTGCTGAAGTTAACGGCAGCTGAGACTGTTCACTTATGGGACAGCACCCTGAAGCAGTATTATAAATATAGCTTGAGTTAAATTTGTGTGAGGTGTGCTCCTGTGTTCGCTGAGCTCAGTGTAGCATTTGTGGGCTCCTGGGAGGAGGTCTGTGCAGTGATGGTGCCTCGCCACCAATGCCAACACCTTGGGAGATGGCAGGAAGGAGTCTTCCACTCTACAAGACCATTCCAGCTGCAGTTTGACCAGTGCTGCTCGAGTGACTGAACAGCACTTCCCTGGTAGGTGAATCTACGCTGTCCTGATTAATTTAAATTAAGGAAAGCTGAGCTTATTCAAAGTACTCTTCCCAAGTCCAACAACACTGAACACTCACTAACAAGGAAACCCCCCAAACTTTCATTGGAACAATGTTAGCATTCCCACTTTCCCATGTACAGAGAAACTGGTAAGATTATGGGTGGCAGAAAGCAAAGCACTTCCACAGCACGCAACACAGACCTCAGCATTCTTGAGTAGCTTCTGGGCGGGGAGTAACTTGCTCTGTTTTGGTGTCATTTTGTCTCCTTCCAAAGCTAAACCCTTCCAAGAGACTCCAACAGGTGCAGTTTAGAAGATAAACTCAAAGGAATGAAGGAGTAGTTGCTATCTGGTTTCCACATTTGTGCAGAGAGCTCCTTACTCCCTCTTCATAGACACATGAATGAAGATCACTGTCCTGCTTTTTTGTGATGTTATCACACAGCTAAATAGAATGAATGTAACACCTTCCTTTTTAAAAAAAGGCAAGGTTAGACAGATGGTCATGAAAGTAAGCATAGATTCCACCTAAGGGCAGGTTTCAGAGCATTATTATGCAAAACAAGAAGTGTCTTATACTTTGGATACACCTAAGGTAATCAGCCCAAGGATCTGAAAATCAGAGGATTTCTCAAGATGAGTAAAAGTATGTGTTCTTCAGAAGCTTCAAGTCCTAGCCTACAGTTTGGTGCAATTCTGGAGGTCAGATTCTGCTTCTCCAACTCCAGTCAAGATGCACCCAGGTATTCTATGGTTTGTTTCTTGAAAATCAATGCAATTGTCCAGGGAATAGACACTTTCCCCATTAACTCAGGAAAACATTTTTGTCTTGCAAGAAATGCCTATCAACAGAAGTTAATTTACTGATTTATTTTGTAAACATTATGTTTTAAGAAAAATGTAAGCATGATATTTGAAATTAATGATTTTTGTCTTCCTAAATGTTGGGCCATATATAGATTAGTTTTATGAGGCTACCATCAAAACAAAAGACCCTTTTTATTAATGGCTACTTTATCATTTAAAACATGTATGTTTAGTTACTTAAAATGGCAAATTGCTTTGCACTGTCCTTGAAGTGCATTGCATAAATATTGTATTAAAGCCTTAGCTTACACTTCATAAATAATTTATTTTAAAAATACTCCTCCATGAGACCACCAGCTGCCGAGATGTTCAATTTTCTGGTAAAAACATGTATTTATTGCAAGTCTTATTTTAAGTTGTTGAAGATTTGCTAAAAGCCACATGTGATAGATGTTGTAAGAATTGTATTCAAACTAAAACCTCAGGAAGCTAAAAGCCTTATATTCCTAGTAGGTTTTATACCTTTGCATAAGCAGTTTCAGTTGCAGGGGCAAAAGCTGAAATCTATTTAAGGAAGCTTTCAAGTGCAATTCTGTGATAACCTGAAAATGACTTCTAGTATGTATATTTTGTGATGATCAGAAAATTTTATAGATTTCATTACATTTCATTTCACTACAGTCCTCCCTATGCCACTTCCATTTCATGTTGCTGCATTTAAACTGCTGTACAAACTTGTTCAAAGTGCTAGACATTAAAAAAAAAATCAAAGGAAATTTCAGATAATTAACTTTGATGAATGAGCATATTTTAATTCATGTCTGGTAATATTCTTGTTAATGACATGACTGCTTAGGACATCCATTAAAAGTCCATTAACTTAACAGGGAAAGTCTAATAAAGTTATCCTGGAAATTTTCTGGTATATTAACATTATGGACTTTTAATGAATATCTGCTGTAGGAATTGCTATGAGCAAGGCTACCATTCTAATTAAACTTAGGCTCTAAGAGAGTAAAAAAAAAAAAGCCCAGTATGAAGATAGTAACAAGCAGAAGTAGCACTTATTTTTGAAAATTACTATATGGGAAATTGGTACAGGTGGCAAAACATGCTATCAGTAACAATGAGAAATTATTACGTTGTGGCTTTTTTTTGTAGCCTGCCAACCCACACACCCACATCAGGTGCTTCCTTCATGCAATCCATCACTGAAGCTCCCATTTATCTCTTTGTTGTTGAGACTGAGCAGTACTGAAAAGCTAGCTAGGCCTTTCAGAAGGGCAGAAGACACAAAATTTAAACACAGTTTTTGATGACAATGCCAAGTAAAAAGTGTGCTTAGGAAAGCTGTTATCTATGGGCATCCACCATTGTTATCAACTCACCTGAAGCTTCATCAAGTCCTGCTACATTTTTGCTGACATTCACAATAATACAGCAACAGATCTTTTTATATGTATATATCTTTTTTATATATATGTATGTAACTTTTTATGTATATGCATATGTATATGTATAAATAAAACAATTCCTTGATATACCTATTCTTTCGTACTTTTCCTTCACCAAATCTTCCAAACCAATCATTTTCCAGAAACTGTCATCCCAACCTCCATCTGAAGTGTAGGTCCACTTACACACTACCGTACAAAGGGACCTAGAAAAAAGACAACATAAGCATGGAATCAGTAAAATGAACACATTTGGTTTTAAACTTGTGACTAGAAAGAAGTTTGTGCAAAATGATCTCTTCATTCACTGGTCAAAAATTCCAAGCACAATGCTAACAAAAAAAGACTGGTTACTGTTTGCAGTGCACGTCTTGAGATACCTTAAAAGGACCTTATGTTTAAGATTCTTCTCTGCTGAAACAACTCCTGGTCTGGCTGCTTCACTGCATAAATCAGTCAAGTAACAGGCCGTGCATATGCCTAGAAGACAGCATAGCATGAACCTAACAGCTCTTTAGCAAGCAGCTCAAAGAAAGATTCCTGCTTCTCCAGGCTGTACCTAAATAGCAATGTTTTGCACACAGTATGTCCTTAGAAAAACTTTCTATTACTTGTGTTCCAGCTGAATTACAATTTCCAGGAGATTACGTATGCACTGATATTTAGGTTAAATGGCACTGCTTCGGTACCTGCAGGTACAAAATGCTTTTATCAGGTGAATGTGTACAAGCAAAACCAGATCCACCTACCAGAGCTCCTGCATAGCCAGTGTTCAAGTACTGCTGTCATTAGGTTTGTATTTCAGCAGAAGCCGATGACAGTTCAGTGACATGCTGAAACAGCATTAGCCATGATGCAACTGAGTGCAACATTAAGTTCTTGTTTCAAGTCTCATTCCTGATAAGCTGACACTGAACTTCACTGTGATAGTACAGCATCACAAGGGCAGATAGGAGCAGGATGTAAAAAAAGACAACAGAACTTGCCGAAATGTCTATCAGACCTAATAGCATGTTTTTCTCCTAAAATGATCCATATCCCCAATCTCTCATTCCCCCCCAAAATACGAATAACTTTCCTCAAGATTTAGTATTGCACAGATCGTCTTCTGTCTGAACACTAAGAACCATCTCAGAAGATCAGTATTTAATTGTGCTTGAAAAGTCAATAAACTAAAAATGCTAAATACTACTGAAAATTTCAGCTGCCTGTAGTCTTGGGAATACTACCATACCATCAAGTGCAAGACATCTCGGATGCATCTCATGGAAACAAAACATCATAACTGTTCTCAAAGAGAAATCCCTTTCAGAGATGGATTTTCTTTGGTGTCTTACAAGACAGCTTTTTTGTGACTCATTTTTAGCCAAGGTGTGCTTTCACAGACATATTCTTTTTACTAGGATGTTACAATTCAAACATGTATCTTCAAAGCAAACTGAATTTTACTGAAGCATTTGACTTTTTCTAGCATAAGTAAAATCCAGACAAAATTCATGTCTACAATTAATATTTTCCCTTTCGTCCAAGTGGACTACCTAGGGACCTAAATAAGGAGAATTAAACTAAAAATCTTATTATTGTATTACATATTGTTATTTACATTACCATAATGCCTAGGAAAACCAGCTCTGGACAATGACCACACTGTCTACAGCGAGATACAATTACTGAATAAAGAAGGAAGACTGCTGCCTTCGGGAAACTTAAAAAAAAGACAGCAACATTACTGATAGTCAGATGCAGTGAGGTGTCCCAAAGAATGTCACACATATCAGCACCTACAAGCCATACCTATAAAACACAATCAAACCCAACTAGACACTCAAAATACTAAGTATTCAGTCAATGGGAGAGACCAAACTTCACATAAAATACTTGCTGCTAAGAAAAGTGCAATGGGCTCTGTACCATCTAGACAAAGTAGAGCTTCTTATTTTACAGTTGTAGCAAAAACCATGCAGTAAATAATAAAGGATCTGGTCTTTTTGAAAGAGAGGCCACTAAGGGAGCAGGTTCCGCTACTTTCAAGCTTGACAAACATCCTTGTCATAGATTCCCATCCATTTATACAGAAAAACCCCACAAACAAAGCAGCAGTGAGTGCCTCTCCTCCATTAAAACATGGTAACAGAAACTAGCAAAGAAATCAGCAAGAGAAAGAGAAGCTATTTTTATTCACTGCCTACAAATCAAAATGAAGGCTTCTAGACACAGACACTGTACACACAATAAATCCAAGTAAAACCAGGAAAAGCATTTCCACACAGCTGGCAAACTATCTGGAACTAGGATTCACCCTGTTTTGGGGGTTTACAAACAGAACCAAGGATGTACAAGTGAGGGCAGGAATCTCACAGGGTGGGACAGCTAAAGGCACTGTTCTCAGTGTACATCCTCTTACGTGACAGTGAGCAGAAGATCGGATTATTATATTACTCCCATTTTCTCATCCAGGACAGAAATGTATATTTTAAATGCATCACATTTCATTTCATTCTGTTGTTTTGGAGTGACCGTGTTTTTACAATCAGAGGACTAGTGATGTTCATTCACAATGCACTGTTTATAAAGGTGCATTGTTTGCTCTTTGGAATGAGAGAATTTATTAACTTTACACATTTTTGAGAATGAAAGAAATGGAGATAACTATTTCTATCCTTATAAATACTATGGAGATTATTTCAGGGTTACTCTTCAAACAGTTTTGACACATATACCCACACTTTTTTTTTCCTTAAACACTTTAAGAATAGATCAGACAATTACAGTTCAGTGTCTGGTTTGAAAGCAGAAAAACACATGACCTGTAACTACAGCAATGACAATGTTGATATAAGAAATTCCAATTTCCAAGGATTTAAAAGCCACACATAGAAATCTAATTAGGACCTTTGACAAAAACTGGGTGAATAAATAAATTGTAGGCTGAAGAAAATACTGGGGAAAAATAAACATTTTCCCCAAATCAGCTCAAACCTCTCATTAAAAGGAAAAATGAAGATGGGATATTTGAAATAAAGATCATTTCATCACTTAAGGAAAAATTTAGACATAAAGAGTGAAACAATAATGCATCAAGTTTTCCCAAATATGGTAAATACCAAATCATAACAAATTATCATCAGAACTGAACATGTATTTTTCTAATTACATCAATGCTATGAACTATTGCCACACCCTGAAAAATGCTCTAAGGATGAGAGCTAAATGTCATGGCTCCCCACTTCGAAGATCACAAAGCAACTCCCTCTGAAACTCCATACTTATCCAGAGAGAAATCGGAGCAGCCTTGCCGGATGCCAAAAGCATGTTTTAAATAGGCCACTTCTTCCATACAGCTCACTCTGAGCAACATCACATTACATATACAGGCCCACTGCGAATGGGGACAGACTGGCCCCTGCCAATCCACCGAATTCCAGCATATCGGAGCTCTCTTACTGGACATGAAATGGCAATGGGGCTGTGAGCATTTTCATCCTACTTGTGTAGATTTATAAATGCAAAGTGCTTACAGAAGAAGGATAAATAGATGATTTCTGGTTGAATTTTTAATACAATATAGAAAACATGAACTGGGAAAGATACCCCTTCCCGAGTGAATTAACTGGCAGATCTATAAGTGGAAGGTTCTGATATGAAAACCAACCTCAAATCTGAGCTAAAACACTAATCCGTTACGTTGGTAAGTTTTTATTTTCATAGCCACAACAAGAATCTCAAAATGCTTGTTGTAAATGCAGTTGGAGCATTTACACTTCTCTGGGATTTAGGCTTCTTAGTCCGCCCCTGTCGCCACTCAATTGCCACATAAAGAGTATATGTTTAATTGAACAATATAGCTTTATACAAATCCTTATTATCTAAGAGAAAGTATTATACTGCAGAAGGACATTCTGGTCTCTTAGATAATAGTTCAAGAAAACAGGAATTCTTTGAGATGCCCGTGACAACAGATCAACTTCACTACAGGCTTCAAAAGAACCTGGGTGTGTTGAACTCAAATATCCCTGCCACTTACCTGATGAGGTGCTCTAATAATTACACAGCTGCTCAATTTGTATATCCTAGAGAGCAGTAGGCACATATAGAGAGAGCAGTATGTTTATGCTTTTTCACCTTTGAATACCAAAGGCATAGATAGATAGATAGATAGATAGATAGATAGATATATTAGCTTTATGGGCAACTGCTCAGAAATTTTCTTCCGGAGTGTCACCCTGAGAAAGTGATAGCAAGACTTGTAACTTGGAAAAACTATATCCAGAAAGACATTATGGTAAAGAAGCAGCTGAGGAACCAAATCATTGTACCTACAAAGAAAGCCTCAACTATTAGAAAATTTTGTATTTCACAGCAACTCCTAAATTTTATGAGATGAAGGGCAGACATTAAACAGAAACAGTGCTGATATTCACTGTGGTATATTCCTTTTTTCCAAACTATTTGGCAGTACTGCCTCAATTATTTGGCCATAAACACCAGACTTCCACTAGCTGAAGCTGGATGAACCAGATGGATAGAAGCAAATGTTCCCCTTAGTTCACTACCAGAATCAACTGTGTTCAAAGGTGCTGAGTTAACAGGCAAGAGTCTGACTGCCTGATCTAATGCAGGACTTGAGAAGACATGGTACGGATCCCCTCAGTAGCACAGGCCACATTTAGCTAGGCTGAAATACCATGAATTTGAAGACTGTTTTCCTCAAGCATATTCGCAATGAAATAAAAAATTTCCTTTCTCTGTTCAGAACAAAAAGTTTTGCTTAGAATACTCCTCCTGAAAAAAACAACCCTTTTGCATGGAAAATTTTTATTTTATTTAAACCAGATTTTTAACAGAAACATGATTATGTTTAGTTTTTTACAAATTCTAGTCTACAAAGAACTATAGGATCCTACTTGCATCCAACAGCCTCAAGAAAAAAAAAAATCCCTGTCACATTCATTATGAAGTAGATTTGGCTGGGCACAGCATATTACACAATCCTTTCTATTATTGTCTAGCTCTGTGTTTTTGCACATCTTTTGCTGAGGACTGACTGCGGATGTGCGAAAGTCCTGTACGACCAGAATCTCAGCATTCTGAAAAACCCACCGGTAATATGTCCTCATAAGAAAACCAGAGAGTCTGTAGTGACTAAACACGCACTGATAATTCCCAACATGCTGTCTGGAACTAACTGCTTGCCCCCACTAACCTT